TATGTCAATTCTCCTCATATTCGGGATGGACATTGTGTCATTTTCGTTCCATATATTTTCTGGTTAACATATGGACTGAGGTTCTCCGGTTAGCCTCTCACTCTGTCTCTCCACTGAACTTGATGATACAGCCTTCTGTCATATAATTCAAAACATGTATGAAGCAGTTAGTTCTACTGTAACAGCAGAAGACGAGAAACAGAAGTCCAGGTATATTTTCAAGTGATCAAACAGGTATTTACATCTATACGGTTTATATTTTAGAATCAATCACTGAGCACGTGATTTTAATTTACATTGAACAACATGAGACAGAATGTTCAAGTACAGATATTTTTCAGTTGGTATTGAAGTATGAAACAGTGTAAGTAATACGCAAACACTAACACCGACAAATACGTTGATTGTTACTGTGGGAATAATACTCCGTTAGAATCCACTGACTGTATCACACCACCAGAGTATTAGTCAAGTTTCTAAAACATAAAGACGTCGTAAGTTATCCGAAATCTGTAATGTATTTTTGTCAACATATTTCAAACAACATCATAACACAGGTGAAATCGCCAAGGTATAACGAATGAAAATTTAGTGTAAATAGGTCCAAATGATTAGATCACACGATCACAGATAAGGTGTAAGAAACGGAAGGTGGTGCAAATGTTATCAGGTAAAATAAAGCATAATTATAAAATGAGGTAACCATGGCCAGTTCAGACTAACATCAAAATAATGTCTGGAAGCATTGAAATGCATTAGGCCTACCCACGGATAAAGCTTCACTTACTCTGAATACAAATGACTTGAAACAGTTATTTGTATGGGTCAAGCGCAGTACTCAAATATACTTCACAGTCCTTCTATACGACCTGTCTGCGATTGGCAACGTTGAGCATTTGTTTTCAATGGCAGGTGCGTAAGCCAATTTCATTCGTTCATTAGCCCTTTTGATACCTCCATTGATGTGAAAACACCTATATGTGTGAATTGGTCAACAAATTGATATGTAAGATATAAAATATATTCATATTAAAATTTAGAATAAATACACATTTAAGTTAAAACTATTGTTTCACTAATTCAATAATCCTTAATACAGCATTAAGAACACAACAATCCACGAAAAGACTCTTTCCAACAATGGAAAGTGGTAATTAATTATAGGATTAGTAGGCTTACATGAAATGTTACATAACATGATGTTAAATCTGATAAGATAGAATTCAATATTGAAAAGAATTCTGGATTTAGCAGTGACAAGAGGGGAAAGTGGGAACAAATCAAAGTGAGAATAATAATAACAATCGCATTATTGAGGGAGAGGTACATAGACTAAATAAATATTTTTTAAGTTTTTTTTATTGCAGCTTGATTCCACACCGTATTTTTTGCACAAGTATGGAATTTTCAGCATGGATATCGGTAGCCTAAATTTCGCAGGCCGACCATTGATATCAGGTGTGCGTTGGCAGCGGATCGAACCCTAGACCATATGCATGGTCGGCGAGAGTTCCATCCACTGTGCTCTCGACGGCAAAGATAGAATCAGGAACTGTACATATTTCTTTTTTACACAAAGGTCTCACTTAAATTCATGAATGGTCAATGCCTCCGCTGTCTTTAGAAGTCTATAATGTAGAGAACTTTGCTAGAGTGTGGGGCTTTGATAATATTTATTATTATTCCACTGCGTTACGAGTGGAGCATAGGACTTCATCAGCACATCTCCATATAGTTCTGTTTTCTTCAGTCCTCTTCAGCTGGGTCCACGATTCATCAAACTCTCTCATCTTTTCCCCACACTATCTCCTCCGACGACCCACTCGTCGCTTCCCATTGGGATTCCACTCGAGGACCTGGCGTACAATGTCATTTGGTGGTCTCCTGAATGTATGACCGATCCATCTCCACTTTCTCATACATATTTTTAGAGCGATCGGCACACGCCTGTTGGTTTGTACCTATAGTTTCTTGTTGGTCATTCATTCTGGCTATTTTATCCTCAGTATGGAGCAAATAAAGCTGTTGATGAAAGTCTGCAACCTGTTGCAAATCCTTTTGCTGAAACACGATTGTAACTTTCTGACCCGAATCCTACATACATATGAATCATAGCCTAATTAGGTATTCGAGTGGGATGGTTTTCTGTTAACTAACCCTGTTCAATTAACCACTCTAAAGTGTACTAGATTCCATTTTCTGCTGAGTCTATTACTGTCAACAGCGTAGTATTTTGTGGAGATTTAAACACTGCGAGTGCATTTCTCCACTACCTCCACTGCAACTCAAGATCAGAATCAAAGCTTCTTAGAGATCCGTGTTCTCCGAAAACCACAAATATCAACGATTCCAGCGCAGACAATGGCGGATACTTTTCCATTCATTTCGCTTGTTCGTATATTTCATCTTGAAATTTCGATGCCCTGGATTTCGGTTTAATGAAACGCCAAATATTACTTCGTAAACAGAAAACGTGGTAATGTTTATGAGTTCATAGCAAATGTTTGACTTCTTCCCAACTGTTTCTAGAGCCCCACTAGTCAGAATGCCATTCAAAGCTAATATTTAGAAATGCTAATTCTTGAAAATACACTAAATATAATCTTACCGTGAATATTTTCTTTCAACTAAATAATCTCAATAAGCGTGACTGACAACGGTCATATGACAAAGATGAATTCATCTGGTGACACCATGTTGCTTTGACCACATTATTCAATTTCATCGAAAAAGACAGACAAACTAAAGGTGAATAGTCCTTTGATTCAATAAACTGACAGAATCAGCAATCTTCGATATAAGAAATTAAAAGTATACGTCGAACTATTGATCAAACTCCAGATATGCTCAAAAAGCGTGAAGTATATAGCCATTGAGAATCAAAATGTACTATGACCACTCAATATGGATGATCATGTCAGTAAATTAATTGAACGAAGTTAAAATATATATGTGAAATTATGTGAATATTTTCTAGTAGTTACATTTCGAAGCGGGGAGTTTTATAGTGTAAGTCGATTACTCCTATTCCTATTTCATATATCTTAGTTGGTTTAACTTATTCTTGAATTTATTTGAAAAAAGTGTTGTCTGGCCATCGTGTCTCATTCCACACACACATTGTATATATACAGTCTAGTTAGGAATTAGGCCAGTTACCTATAATTGCCTTCGAGTTATAGAAACATGAATTAAGTCATTTTGAGTTTGCTCAATTTAAAAACGCAGATATTTGCGTTTATTAAACTCCGAGAAACATAAGGGGAGCACAAGTTATCTGAAACGAGTAAGATATTTGAGCAGCACAATTTGAGCAATTCAAAGACAAATAATGGGATATGCGCCAATTTGAATTCATTTTATTTCGGTCGTCAGATTTTATCCCTAGATCACGTAGGTTTGTGAAAGCACTGAATTTCAAGGAGCACTGGGCAGTTGTTTTTTCCTCTTTTAGGACTCTTCCTGAATTCCTACACACCATTTCACCAGGCATTGAACCTAGGACATTCATTTTACGTGACCATGTCCATAGACCCATAATTTAAATGTCAACCTCGAGTTAAATGTTTGCTACTAGATATATGTCCTGAAGCTTCAATGAGAGGTCGTAGCCGCTGGGGTTCACAGTCTAGAGGTGAATCAAATGCTCACCCAATCCATTGATCTGGTTAGCGGGCCACTAATTTCCATCTCGAGATTCTGAGTGGTTAGTAAGATAGTTCCCTTTACCTATGAGTCCCTTGTTGGGTTTCTGGTGAGGTTGTCAGCCAGCAACGGCTTACAGCGGCCAAATGGGAGGAAACAGGTTTTGACCGCATCTTGGTTTTTAATGTTCTACCTAACTGATGTTGGCTAATGATAACTGACAACAAGGGAAATTAGAGTATGATAGGTGAAAGTTGAATGAATATCGATCGAAATGTTTAAGGCTCAGGATCAAAAATAAAGTATAAGTAACAAAGCCGATGAAAATATCGTTGCAGAAAACGTGGTTTCAACTGAAAATTGGATTACGAATGCAGGTCTTCAGCAATGATAATTTTTTTAAACGTAAAGAGCTAATTTATGTCTTTTATGGATGAAGCTTTGATGAATTAAATCATACGATCCTGACTAGTCGCATTTGTGCAAATGTACTGAATTATAATTTACGTTGGTCAACAACTCTCTAGCTCAGTTGAGTTAGATGACATGAAAGTGCGTTCTTTAGCCCTAACCTGCAGAAATTGATGAAAAACAGCCGATGAACCCGGTCCCAAACGTGCGAAAAATCTTATGGAGTTTGAACCATCTCGATCTGACTAGCGAGCGCTGATGGTTCACATGAATGGTTTGCAACCACTGATCTCAATCAATCAGTTGTATACAGTCTTTCTCATTTATGCTAATTTCCATGTTTGCGGTTTTTGGTATGAAGCAAGTAGCATAGTTTCGATCTGTATATTATAGTTTCTAAAGAACACTTTGGCGAGGTTTCTCCTTCTCTTATTGTGTTAAGTGGAAATTGTGAATTAATGTGCAATTTATGAAATTACTTTGGATAATGACTCGTCGATCTAGGCCTCTAATAGTAAGACCATTCTGTCTATTCACTCTATCTATGAGTTACAAATGCATGTATAAATTGAAAGCACTCGTGTATTTCATGAAGAAATTTTGAGGGTATAATCCACGGACAAAAACATTGTAGTAAATCGTTGGCATAGCGGTTAGGGCGCTCGTCAACATGCACATGGTCTGCGGTTCGATCTCCATCCGACGCACTCCTTTACCTCTCTAGGCCAGAAATAATTCTGATAAAGAGGAAAGGTTGGGCATGAGGCTAGCATCCCCATTCTGTAAAACAAACACTGTTACAGAAACTCTAAGCCACCAGCTTGAAGCTCTATGTTCCGCTGGAGAACGTGAAGGAAAATAATAATAAAATAAATCCCTCCTTTTCATTTCTGTTCAATCGTGTTGTCAGCATTTTTTCTTTTGAAATCTCAGAATATCAAAAGATGGTCGTGCTTAATGCATTTACTTACAAGAATGAGAAGGTGCAAAGGGAACCAGCCAGCTTTTACATTTGGGTAAGAATATGGTTATCTATTAAACACATTTGTTATTTCTAGTTCTTCGTAGATTTGATTATCACGATACTCATTACAGTCAGTGCAATCGTCTTGATTACTCAAGTGTAAGATTAGATTAAGGCAATCAATCAAATTTTACTTTGATTTACAGATCAGCGGTATGCAGATTCTTCAAAGATCACGACTATGTGATATACATTCTTTAGTAAGTTCTCCTAATCATTTGATTGATTTTTTTATCAAGTGACAAGTGAAATAAATTTATAATAATTATTATTCTCATAAAATATTTCGTCAGCACGTTCACAGTTTATCTGGTCCTATCCAGACCTTTTTAGCTGACTACATGACCATTTACTATTTCACACTATCTTTGACATTTTATGCTTGTAGCCCTAATAAACCAATTTCCATCTCGGTTCTGGTCACGGACCTGTCACCTGCCAGAAGCACCTCCACTCATCCAGCATATTTGTTTGACGATAAGTTTTTGGTTGGTTAATTCCCACAGTTCTTCGTATTTTGTCCTTTCTGATCGGCTATAAAATGTTTATTATGGGTCCAGCGAACATAGATGTTAGTGAAAGTCTTAAGCAAGTTCAAAATACTTTCTGTGACGAGCGCACCAATTCTTCTAAAAATTTAAGGGCACTGACTCGACGTGAACACTGAAGTTCCGGATATTGTTCCCTATGATGATTGTGGTATATTTCAACACAGATTGCAGGTTGATATAGTTCTGTTTCGCTGCCCTATGTCTGAAGTCTGCATCTGTGCTTCTGTATTCAAAACGATGTTGCCCAAGGTGAGTGAATGTAGTCACTTCACTCAAATATGTTCTTTTTCAATAGCAACTGGTGTGTGTTCTTGTTTGGTGAGCGAATTCACAACTTCCCAACTCAAAGTCCTTCTTTAGCTGCGTCGCATGTTAACTTGTTGATTTTTACATGAAGACATTCAAGTTTGTGTGACATTACACATGATTCGTCTCCGACGGTAAAACCTTGTTGAATATTCCTGTCAGCCGATCATGTTCTTATATTTTTGTACCCCTAGGTTCACTGCTCCGCCCATCATAATCACGTATATCACCAGTGATAGTAGACAGCATTGTCTTTCTCATGTCTCCACGTCTGAGGCATCTCTGACCTTCACAATGTGAGTAGGTTGGTATGTTGCATTTTCGGATAGCTATTCAACGAGGTTGGCGAAGGCATGAGTGACTCCAAAGAGTTGAGGTGATTTCAAAACTATTTTGTGGTCAACACTGTGGAAGGATTTTTGAGTGTTAATGTAACTGAGGTACGGAAATTACTGCCATTATATGCTGTATTCAGTGATGATGCGTAGCATTGCGATTCTGCTAGCATATGATTTGCCTTTCCTGAATACAGTTTATTCTGGGTGCATCTAGGCATCCTTCAGTCTCATAAGGCCGGTATAACTTACGCTCTCTCTTGACATGGACGGAATCATATTTTCGCTTCAGTTTTTACAGTGGTCTAAGACATACTGCTTTGGTGGATTCACAAAATAGCCTATCTGTCAACTGGTACGTTCTTTTCCTCTCTTTGGTTCTGTGGTATTAGCATGAGGATATCCACTTTTATGCCGGGATCAGTTTGTAGTGCCACAAAAGGAATTCCATCTAGTGTGCTGGTCTTCTTGACCGGCGTTCAGCGGTCCATCATTCAATTGGTTCATCTTTTGTTTCACCATTATTCTGTCCTCTCTCGGCTTTCACATGTCTCCAGAGAAAATTACTTTTTCTTGCTCCTTCTTTCTTTGAGAAATTAAGGAGTTTTCATCAACATCAATTTCAGCTACGGTGATCCTGTGTGACATCTACAACGTGTCTCCGATATCTGCAGCAAAGCTATCACGCAGTCTACACTTTTGCAGGATGCATACGAATTTCCAACCTTTTGCCATGGATCTTGCTGTAATTGCCTTGGAAGAGATAAGAGTTTTTTACGCCGCCTATGAAATCATGATAATTTTCCTCTAAGTGTACTTGTTGTTTTCATCTGGATGATTGAAGTGCATTACTGATTCTCCAGCTAACTATTCGGACAGTTGACTTCGTTTGCATTCGCTGTCACAGATTCTCAACACTTTAGCTTATCTTCTCGTTTCTTTGGCAGTTTGAGCAGCCTTCTCTGCTTTGAACATCGTGTAGACACTCCATATCTCGTGGATATACTCGATTCCTTTGAAAGAAGATTCATAAGCTGACCGGCTTTTCGAATAGTTCCACAAGTAGGTGTCATTTCATCTCAATGATTCCGAGTGTAGTAAGTTGACGTTTTATGTCTTTTGCAGTGTTTTGATGTATTTATAGCGATTCGGCTATTTCCTGTGTAAAGTCATGAGATCCTTTTTCTGTTTTTTAGGACATAGTTTGAGCTGGTAAACCAATAAACTAATTACTTTCAAATGTTATTCCAGGGACATGATTAGTGCTCTTTCTCTCTTTTCACCAGCATAGACTGTTTGTGTGGTTACATGTTAGGTGATGAACTACGACGGTTGTTCTCTACGTTCACATAAACTCGTCGGCAACAATACGTTTGTTCTAACTGTATTATTCCATCTCATCGCAGTCAACATCTCATGAGAAAGTAATCTACAGAACATTCATTGGAAAGCACTCATTAAGGCGGATAATTTAGTATAATTACATAATTATCAGCCGTTCAAGATTTCTGACGAAGACCATTCACATTGTGCCATGATCTAGGCAATTAATAAAACGTTGGACACTGATTTTGCTTAGATACCAAGTCAGTTTGTATATTTTCATCATCAGTCATACGTATCAATTTCTTCACGTTTAAATAGGCTTCAGTGAGAAATTACATAGAATATAAACTTTCTACCGCCTTTCTGTACTCCTTCGGTGAGATCAATCAAGACTGTCACGTCTAGGAGGAAAAAGAACCGCTTACATCATGAAGCAAGTAGTGAATTCAGAATATTACATATATATCATGAGCCTCAAGTGGTGTGGTTTCTACCACTGCACCAATTCACTCAGGTATAAATAATAATAATAATTTTTCCTTCACATTCCCAGTGGAACAAAGGGCTGCAAGCTAATGGCTTGAAGTTTCTGTAGCAGTGTTTAATTTTTACAGGATGGGGTTGCTAGCCTCATGGCCAACCTTTCCTCTTTACCAGCATTATTTCTGGCTCAGTGAGTTAAAGGAGTGCGCCGGCCGGGGATCGAACTCCGGTATAAAGTCATCATATTCGAAAAATACACTTGTGAGATGTTTAATACTTCATATGTCTTGAATTGTGCTCATCACGCAGCGGAATAATCCACAAAATATTCTCCTGCTTGTTGAGATTAATTACTAGTGTTGCTTACAAATTCATTTCAGTTCAGTCGGTGCCATACTCTTATTTCTCTGTGTATTCGTGACAAACTTTCAATCGAAATATATTCCGCTACGTATACTTCTTGGAATGGTGGTAAGTATCAATATTATTCGATCCCTTACGAAATTGGTAATGGTTCACACTAAAATGTTGCAATTAAAATGAATGTCAATTGTCAATACTCATGTCCATAATTACTTGGTCAGTGCAATAATTTCCACAATTCTTAGAACATACTAATATTGCCATTATGATTTCTATCATAAGCCTTGTTGTATAAATTGTATGGCTAAACAATTAACTTATAAGAGAAACTGTGAAAATTCTACAGTACCAGTAAATCTATCGAAGAGGGAATATATATTTGAATAGATATGCTAAAAACCATGTACTGTCAGTGTATATGAAATAAAGTTAAACTGTTTCTGAACTGATCAGACATTCATGCGATGACTGATAATTTTGAAGGCTAATGTTGATTTGAATTTCATGTTTGTCAGTCGCCAAAACAACAGAGAACGCTTGGTGTTGAAATTAAGCTTAATATTGCACTGTAGAAATCGTGACTGAATTCGAAATCAACACAAATGAAAGTGGCTCACAAGTTTAACTGCTGCATATTGAGTCACGTAAGTCTTGGTGTGCCGAAAGAGCAATGATTCTATCTGCTTCTTATATACAGCGATAACTCCCATTGACACTTTTCAAACATCCCCTAACCAACAGAATTCCATCGGGTGAATCACAACTTGAGCACTATAGTAGCATATTTGATAAAATCCCTCCGTCCTAAGATAGCTTTCTTTGTAGATACGATGAACAAACATTCAATAGTCCACTTTCCCTCCACCTGTCTATATTAAGTTTTAGTACTCTAGCTATCTCTTACCGTGTTCTGTGATTGTGTGGGTGGATATATTGTGATTGCTAAATTATTCCTCAAACTAGCCCCACCTAACAATCGGATGTCTGTAGTTGACTTTGCATTCATTACCATAAATTCTTTCTAATCCATGTTATGGTCAGTAGTTCCACCACTGTTCCTAAAGGTTTTTAAGGATGATTACATGAAATCAGGTTTTCCATGCATTCGATTTCATAAAAATATTAACATATGACTGATCAGTAATTTATTTACGACTTTGAGTGACTTTGCTAACCTGATGTTTAATGACATTTTATTTCATGTCTCTCACTAATGATGATGATTATAACAACATTTATCCATCCGAATGTGTGGGGTGCAAAGTTGGACTTGAAAATAGCATAGGATGCATAATATTTCTTACGTTTTAAAATTTCAATCCTTTGATCTCCGAGTAGAAATTCTAGTTGTTGTTTTCACGCATAGCATTGCTAGTCTCACGCTAAACTTGCCTTGTTTGCCAGAATTACTCCTGGAAAAGCGGGTTTTAGGAGTATGTAGGCTGGAAATCCAACCCTAGACCAAGTTAGTGGTGGGTGAGTATTTAATTGTTTAACCACCGACGCACTTCCTCACTGACTGAGCAATAATTATTCATCCACTGTTATTATCATTTCCATTTTCTCTTTTTTTGTAGGTTGCATTATGGTCTGTCAGCTTTGCCACTGAGTTTGAATCTGTTCAGATAACATTCGTATTCATATCTCTGGGTGTGACAACTGCGGTAACAATTACAGCAATCATTCTAGCTTTCATGCTACCACCTTTGAATGATAAAGGTTTTGTTGTTTTCACAGGAATATCAATGCTCCTTGCAGTTTCAGCTATCATCGTAAAGATTTGTTGTTACTTGATTACACAAAATGTAATTATTTTCAGAAATGTATATTCGACTAATAAAATACGTGAAATGTTGACATATAAATTATGAGACATTTTATTTGAAAATTTCTTGACCACGAAGGAAGGTGCTCAATAACGCCTTTTTTGAAGGGTGTTTAGTTGTTCGCACTAAATTTAGCACTTTGCTCAGCAGAATCTTAATTGGTGAATGCGCGTAGAAGTGCAGCCAGTAGTAAGTTAATCTTACAATTGAGTATTCATAATTGGTTGGCTGCAAAATGACAAACAAAGACAAGCGGATGGTATCGCTATGAGTTCTCCGTAGGCCTGATTTTGGCTGAATTTTTCCCTGTTAGTGTTTCAAACGGTTGAATGAAATAAGTAATTATTAAAATGGATTCTTCTTGTTATCCTTATCCTAATAATATGTATATTATCGTTGTTTAGAAAGCAGACAAGAACTACATGTATATGAATATAAATGAAGTCAATGTTCAACTGAACAGAAGATTGTTCACTAAAAGGATCTTTTTAAAAAATTCACGTATAAAGGGCAATAAACACATTTCTTTAGTTTCCTACTCGTGTAATATAAATTCACTTTGGTCAAATTCCCCATGAATCAAGCAAAAAGGATCTGTATTGATGATTCTTTGCAAAAAGAAACCCGATGCAACAGACACGTTCTCCATCTAAGATTATGCACATTTACTCTTATTAGCATTTAAAAATCTAGCTACTCTCTTAAAATAGCAATTTAAGGTGAATAACTAGACAGCCTTGTGAAACTAGGCATCTTCCCTCATGGAAAATTCTAAGCGAAACCTGTGAAGTTTTAATTTTTCTGATTCGATTGACGGTGATAAACAAGTGTCAGAAGAATCTCTGTCAAGTTCATCTAGGATACAAAAGTGAGCACATAATTATTGAGAGCAATCCGCTTAATAATCTTTGCACCATGACTAGATTCTATTACACTGCAACTTGAATGATCACCTCGATTCATCAAAACTTGCATGATTGAATATGACATTCATTGGATCACAGACTTACTGTCCACTTTATTTTCATTATCCTAATAGCTGTTTAATGAACTAGTTTTAGTTAAATACGAACATTTGTAAACGATAAGGCAGGAATTTCAATAAACTACCTCAAAATGAATTCATGTGTGTTTACTGTTAGTTGAAGAAAAACAATCAGTGAGTGGTTCGTTTCATTTAGTTTTAAAATGATGGATATTTGTGAATATCCCCGTGATCATTACCATAGATATGTGCCTGCAGTAATTTAGAAAACATCCAAAGGATTTGAATCAGTCTATTTACGGATATGTCTTTTATTCTCTTCATTTTCTAGACTCAAGTATTCTGCATTGTGGCAGCGATTCTCATTGGATTATTCATATTCTTTGTAAGTCATTAATTTAACCAGTTTTATTCATAATGGAATTATACTCTACCACAGTTCACAAGTTTTATTCTTATATGAGTTTTACTTTTGCAATTTTAAATTAAGTACTGACCATTGAATATATTGCCATTGCAGTTTGGTGACATTTTTTTTCACTATTTACAGTTTCTAGTAGAATAAAGGTATTTTAGCTCGAAGTTTGAAGGTTCAGCAGCTTTGCAATTTTCTACGATGTGGGTTGCTACTGTCACCTCCCACCTTTCCTATTTATCGGGCTTATCATTGGACAAGCAAGTTTTGACAGTGAGGTAGTCAGGCATCACACACAGACCATGGACATGGTCAACGAAGATTCTGCCGCTGAATCACTGATGTACAAGGAATGGTAACGTAGAAAATACAAAGTAGTCATACAAAAATACCTGCGAAAAGGAAATTTCTTCTTAAAATCATTATGTTATATATGCAGAAAACTTCTTAACTTCAGACGTAGTTCTAAAGCATTCTGAAATCAAACACCCATTGGGCAAACACTGCTAAACTACGGTTGAGTGGTATAGGATTTATTTTGCAAAAAACGAAGTTTTATTTCCGTGATAAGGTCATTAGAAGTAATAGCTATTTGGTGTACACTGCGATTCAGTCGCAACCAGTGGGATTTATATATATATATATATATATATATATATATATATGATGAGAATTGTATCAGAACAAAGATATTTCTACTAACAGTTATGCTTTCACAACAAGAATAATTAGAGAGGAAAACCACTCCCAGTGTATTCTAGTTCACGTATTATTACAAATCCAATAATTCTAGTATGCGATAACGCCATTAAAAGATGAATTAAAATTGTAACAGAACGTGTATTTTGAAACTAGTACAATTTAGTTTTTATCATATTTTAGAATAGGTATGGTCAATAAGAAGATGGGATAAAATATGACTGTATATATATAAATATGCTTATATAGTCAACAAAGTGGAAGTTTCAGGGGTGAGTATAGTCAGTGGTATGAGAGATAAGACGAGTAGTACTGATAAATAAACCAACAAATGAGAAAAAACTAGACTTAAGTACAAGGGTAACAGATAACAGTATTATTCATGAATGCATAACGATGGTGTAATGTAAACATAGAAGTAGAACTAGTGAACTATTATCAGGTAAAACAGGGGATGTAATAAAATGGAGTGAAAAGGATTTTCGAAGCAATATATTCCTTCCATGAAGATGTAGTTTATCTGAAACGTGTAATGTGCATTTGCACAATACACTTCTGACATTCTGATCACACATACTAGTACTTGTCAAACACATTCACATAAAAGACAAGAGAGCAGGAATTACTACTATACAGGTCAGATTGTGTACAGGTCTAGGTCACAAATGAGGAGCATAAAGATGACATAAGGGTGTGGAGTAGGAGAAAATAGAAGAGACATGGTGAAAATATCATTAAGTAAACCGTTCTTGATTGAATAGCCAATGCAAGTTTCAAGCAATAACAAATAATTTCCGGCTTCATGTGACAGATGTAAGCCGTTTTATGGTCAAAGCTTCAACAAATATATCATCCAGCGTTATTTTATGTATGGATTTAAAGGCATCATTGAAATCATCCTGATGACTCGTCCCTATGATATTCTTCGATATAGATGATATTGGACAACCATTTCTGGGATCAATTGTATAAAGTGATTTTATTCGTGGTTGTGACAACTTTGGAATATGATTTTAGCCTAAGCCTGCAGAAAACTACGAAACCTCTATATATACGTGCTTCCACATTTACATGCAAACTTGTAAAAAAAGTGCAACGTGACAATATCGTTCGGATGCTGTGAGGGTGTACAGGAAAGCAAAGATCACGTTTTACATATGTAGATAAGTTTAGCTGCATAGTAAGCACAACTAACTGCAATCTTGATTTTTTGTTTGGTGTTCAGACTTAACTTCTTTGAATTCTTGATAATAAAATGAGTTGAATCTTTCCTATTACTTGAAACTTGCATTGATTATCCAACCTAGAACAGTTTACTTAATGATAATCTCACCATCTCCCTTCTATTTACTTATATCCCCACCCTTATGTCAGCTTCATGCCTCTTATTTGTGACCGTGACATGCACATAGTCTCATCTCTATTGTAGTATATTCTGCCCTCTTCCCTTCCAAATATATATATATATATATATAACAAGTGGGAGTGTGACCAGAAATGTTTTGTGCAAATGCACATTACACGTTTCAGATAAACTTCGTCTTCTTATTCTTTTGAGAAAAAGGTTTTTTTTAATAGAACAACAGGTTTGCAAAGTAATACGTGAAGCCTAATTTTGAACTAGCTATTTTCCTAAGTATAATGCATTTTGTATTCTCAAACTTTCGCGAATAATACACGCCCATGGACTACTAGTACACTTAACATATTATTGAATTAAGTATGTGTGAAGATAATCAAAATACTATACATATTCAGCATTGCTGTATATGTTTGTTTTATTTTAAAACAGCAGAATACCTAGTTGTAAAGGTCAACCTTCTCGTATTTATTTTGTCATTTTAGGTGATGTTCATTTGTCTTAGTTTACGAAAATGGATAGTCTGGTGGTTTTCACCTAATCCCATAGAATTTATTCTAGCCTTTGCTGTTTGGTTTCTTATGTTATACCTATTCACACAAATATACACCAGCATACTTCCTAGAAATGGGAGTTCCACCTAAATATATCGTTTGTGGATTATGATTTTTTTCTATGGTTAAATAACAAATACTCTCCTGAGTGAGACTGACCCTTTCACTACAGTTAGTTTTCATGACCAGACGTTGATCATGATTCCTTCGCATGTTGATATTTTTTGTTATCCTAAAAAAGCTAAAGTTTATAAAGTATTAAGTACACAAGAGTCTTGTTTCATGTGAATTCATTCACTTAGCTGCATAATCGCAATTAACAATAATTATCTTTGTATATTCACGCGCGAAGTGCGTCAATAGCGCAGTTGTAGAATGCTTGCCAACCACGAATGTGCTCCGGGGTTCAAACCCTGGCCAACGTACTCATCTACCTCAGTGGGCCAGTAATAAAGCAGATTAGGAGGGAAGCTTGGGCATGAGGCTAGCAACCACATCCTGTAAAAATAAACATTACTGCCGAAACCCTATGTTCCGCTGGAAACGTGAAGGAATATAGAAAAAATTTGTTCGCTTAGAAAAAGACTCAAAAATTCAGTTTGAGGTACTGTTCGCGTCATGAGGATACTTACAAACCGATGATGAAAAATCAAAAGAAAGCAACTGAGCGGGCTGGGGGAAGATTGGGAAGTTTAGACTAGTGTAAAGTAAAAAAAACCTTCAGATGAAAATTAATTTTAATGGAAGAGCATGGAAACAAGTATGAGAAGGAATTATGAAGTGGGTGGAGAGAGTAGACAGAATGTTAGTTAAGAGACTGATGTTAATAATTGTAATAAGGAAAATGCACAAAACAGTAACAACAATATCAAAATATTGATAACAGTTGAGATTGCATTCATTCTCAAGCTACAAGGAAGGAAGGCAAAAGGTGTTTTCTGTCTACAAAAATCAAGGTTTCCTATCTCAATCGCTAAGTCCCTGGCAAAGCAAAGTATGCAGAAGCTCAGTTGATTTTCAAGATAATTTTGGATGAATTATCAATGCTTGCTTAGTGAGCGACTGAGATAGTTTGACGTCGGAGGTGTTGAACAAAATTAAGCTACAAGATAATGGCAGTCGTAGTGCTGAGACGAAGAATGTTATTATCAGACTGCTCGAAATTGATTTCTTTATAGTGTGGACCAGTAGGTTGCCTTCTAAAGTGATATTGATTTACAGCGTCTACTTTGGAACAGACATGTGGTTTTCTGTGTTCAACTATGAAACGTCGAGGTTAGCTTTTCTCAGTTATTGTCTTTATCAAAAAGGGATCTCAATATCTACTGATTCAGAACAAATCGTATATTGCTCAGTTTTATTCAGAAAGTCAGGAAAATGAGAAATAAAACGTATGTTTGAATTGATATAATGATTTACATTAAATTAATAAACTTTACATCTTCAGTATATGTAATATTTAATTAGAAATAATCCACTCAGAATAACATTGTTTTTACATAGCGACATTTTGATTTCATGCAAATAAAACTTTCAAATAATATCAAAACAATGCGATGACTGTGACAAAAGCCGTTTCGTGTGGAATATATGTGTAAGTGAAAACACAATACGTAATAATCACAAACGACATGCATAATAGCAATGGAAATAGTCAGAAAACTCCAGAAACCTATATAAAAATGCCTGATATATTCAAATGAATGAAGATAGGAATTGTTTCGGTTACGTAAATTGGCTCTGGAATGTTATATTTTATACTTCAATCCTCTTCATCTGGTGTCGTTTTTAATTAGTTGTTGATCATATTTGATGTTCTTTATTCTATATGAACATACTTGAAGTGGTATTTCGTCTAAAAATAGTTTATGAATTGTGTTTCATTAACTCTAATGACGTTTCAAGGATCTATTGAGTTTGGAGGGAAAGTGTGTCGTGAATGGCTAAAATCACTTCACAGCTATGATTGACCATGGCATGATATGAATGAGACTAGTGTTCATATTTGGGATCTCCAATCTGGTAGTAATCTCCTATCATCTTATTTTCTGATGCTGAGCAAATCGAGAAATGCAAATTGTTCCTTTTTCAAAGGTAAAGAGTTTAGTTTAGTTTTCTCCATGCTGCTTGAGTTAGTCAAATATATTTGGTCCTCATAAAACAGACATCTCGTTGAAGGTCACATATTATTCAGTCATATTTCACACTAGCCTATGGAAAGGCAATAACAGGATTCATATCTTATTAGTGACTAAAACTGCCATAGCATATAAGCCATGCAGCTTCATACCATACAAAATACATCGTTATTATATTAAGAAGACAGTATTATTTCGATCATGCCATAACTATGCTTT